ACCACGACGCGTAGATTGGACTCCCTCATGAAAGAGCTCACTGGTCACCGCCGACCTGCAAGGCTGGCCCAGTCTATCCAAAATCAAATATCAGGTGTTCTTCGCAAATGTCATCATGAATGGATAGACAAAGTGTTCTGCCAGTCTGTTGCTCATCCTGTCCATCATCTCTTCACGGAGTTGAACGCAGTTCACAAATATTTTCACAAACGAGAGCCAACTCCAGGATGACTCTGCACCTTGAGGCGCAACTTGGCGAACTGCTTGCGAGTGAACTTCTTGGGCTTCGCACCCTGCAGCCCGACCACCCGCTTCGCTCCGGTTTGAACCCTTTCCCGCGTTCCAAGCCAACACCAGAAGACCAAACGGAAATGCAAACAGTGGACTCTGCTCCAAGCCCTCAGGACGTGCCTCCTCTGCAGCCTTCTCAACGGTCTCCTCCTTCTCGGACAAGATCATCTCAACGTGGCAAGGGCAGTTCCTAAGTTGATCTAAGTTGCACAAAGAAACATCAGGCACTATCGTTTGGGACAGTCTTCATACTGGTCTGTCTGCTTCAAGCTTTCCTTCCAGAAGCTGCTCATTCACGAAAATATCGAAAATCCTACCCATAATATCCCACGGTTACATCAGACTTTGTCTGCACACTCCTCCGCACAAAAACCATGGTCCGTCTGAGGACTCGACATGTATGGGCCAATTCGGCCGTGGGCACGGTAAGTGCGCCTGCGGCCCTGCTGAGCAGCGTTCACCTGGTTCGTCGCGGATGAAAACCCAGTGGCACCCCTTGATTTTTCAATCTGTGACAGAAGTGAAATGAGTGAAATGTGTTCTGTAAAACCGCATTGCTTCCGTTTTCTTTGATGACGATTTCTTTACAGCCTGGACGTGCTCCACAAACAGCTTCTCAGTGTCCAAATTCTTGAACTCAGCGTTGGCCTCTGCATTCCTGCAGAAACTGGCATGACATGGCGGCGACACGTTTTCAGTTTGCAGCTTTAAGAAAGGATCTATTCCACTCAGGAAAGGTACAGGTCGAGCGAGCCAGACAGAGAGAGAGAGAGGGAGGGAGAAGGGTGCAGCACGGAAATCATGCTTGTTCTGTACTCAACTAAATCATACTAAATCCACAAGCTCTGAGCATGCACTTAAGTGCAGGCTGAAACTTGTTTGATCCTGGCTATCCGGTTGCACTTCCCAGGTCTGCCTCAACAAACCAAGGACGATCTTTGCTGACTTCACTGGCCAGCGTCCCTGGCAAGGCACCGATGTGCATCATCCCACCACACCCCACTGCTGAATTATCTTGGCTCAAACTCACAATGCTGGATGGGACGTCAAGATGTGTCAAGTATATTTAGCATGACATCTCCGTTCGAGACACTCATTCTTCAGTGTTATCTCTAGAAGATCAACGCAGGTTCACGCCTGAGTGGCCTTAAACTCCTTGGCTTGAGGGGTGCGACCTTAGTGAGAGCTTGTGAAACTTGTGATGGATACAGTACCTACATGTTCCACATGTACCCACCGTATGCTTCTCAAAGCATTGCCGTGGTAAAGCTCAAAATCTGCAACCACGCTATCATCGCAACTGAAGATCAGACCGATGGTACCCCTGTACTTGCGGAACACGATGCACCTGACGCACTAAAAACGTCCAATCAGGCGCAGCTGGTACAATGGCCCTTGGCCGGAGACTAAAATTAGCTCAAACTAACATCTGCTTGACTTCTGGACTGACGTCTGTGCCTCTTCTTGTCACAAACATCCTGCAGGTACTGCTTTGCTGCGCTCAGGGTCATGCCCTTGATGGCCTGCAAGAGACCCGAGCTGAACTGCATATGGAACTGAAGGGGACGTCCCACTGCCAGACTGCCACTTCTGGACAACTGAATCTCTTGAAGATCGCGCTGGCATCCTGTATTCTTCGCGCATCTCATGGATTTAGGCCACTGGTTGCCACACTGCCGTTGCCCAGTCTCGGCCTGTGCCGTCTCATAGGTATTCTTGTAGTGCCTCAGCCCAAAGAACTCCAACCACCAACTTAGTCATACACATTTCTCTTTGTAGATCCATCTCGAGGGCTAAAACTATCCAATTGGTTCAATTGATACAGTCTTTGATATGCTTTAGCAAACAGGGATCCTGTCAAGAATGTCCAGATTCGTTTATCATTGGTCCCCACTTTCGAGCCTTTGAGTTGAAATAAGTTCAGTATAGAAGCGTTCCATGTATGCACCTGTTGGTTTTAAGCTGGCTTGCCTTCCAAATCATTGTGGGAAGAATGTCATCAACAAATATACAAGTTTTACAAGTGCCTAAAATCTGCGATAATGAGAACCAGTAAAAAAAAAAGATTCTGCTGTCTCGAGCATCTATCATCTTTCAAGCCGCTCCCCATCGTTCACTGCATCCAGGGTACACTCGCAAATCCACACCTTGAGCCTTGCAGGCCTCCCCAGTGTGCAACAGTTCTGATGTCTGCTGTTTTCTTTCCGTCTCTCGCTACACATCACTGAACCCAGGCACCAACAGCCACTAGCACAAACAAATCAAAACAAACTCTCAAGTGTTTCAAGTGTTTCAGGAGTCTCAAGCCTTGCTTGGGTTCTTCGACTCCCGGGAGTACTTGATGGTCATGTTTCCCAGCTGTTAGGGTTTCGCGTCGAGGCGTCTGTTGACCGCTTTGAGCCCCAAGTTCATCCAGAAGTGATAGTCTTACGTCGTCTTACCTACGTCGTGTAGGAGCCCCATGGAGCCCCGAAGTCCTTCACTGGGCTTCACATTGCTGCCTTCCTCCATTGTTTCTTTATGCATACTTGACTACTTAACCAATGTTGACATATGTTGACATATCTTGATCATCCATGGATCAATGTGCAGGAATATGCTGACACACGACAAGAAGGAGACTTCACCTCTGAACTCTCTGAACAAGGAGAGGGAATATGTTGCACAAGGTTGCGCAAGATTAGCTAAGCTCTAGATGTTGCTTCTCATCTTCATCCATCTTCTCTCTTGTATATACTCCTGTATCTATATAATTCTGTATCATTCTGTATCTATGCTCAATCTATCTGGACATTGCTTCAGGTCCAACCCTCGCTCGATTGGAGCAGTCTTTTCTACCACACAGCACCACGACGCGTAGATTGGACTCCCTCATGAAAGAGCTCACTGGTCACCGCCGACCTGCAAGGCTGGCCCAGTCTATCCAAAATCAAATATCAGGTGTTCTTCGCAAATGTCATCATGAATGGATAGACAAAGTGTTCTGCCAGTCTGTTGCTCATCCTGTCCATCATCTCTTCACGGAGTTGAACGCAGTTCACAAATATTTTCACAAACGAGAGCCAACTCCAGGATGACTCTGCACCTTGAGGCGCAACTTGGCGAACTGCTTGCGAGTGAACTTCTTGGGCTTCGCACCCTGCAGCCCGACCACCCGCTTCGCTCCGGTTTGAACCCTTTCCCGCGTTCCAAGCCAACACCAGAAGACCAAACGGAAATGCAAACAGTGGACTCTGCTCCAAGCCCTCAGGACGTGCCTCCTCTGCAGCCTTCTCAACGGTCTCCTCCTTCTCGGACAAGATCATCTCAACGTGGCAAGGGCAGTTCCTAAGTTGATCTAAGTTGCACAAAGAAACATCAGGCACTATCGTTTGGGACAGTCTTCATACTGGTCTGTCTGCTTCAAGCTTTCCTTCCAGAAGCTGCTCATTCACGAAAATATCGAAAATCCTACCCATAATATCCCACGGTTACATCAGACTTTGTCTGCACACTCCTCCGCACAAAAACCATGGTCCGTCTGAGGACTCGACATGTATGGGCCAATTCGGCCGTGGGCACGGTAAGTGCGCCTGCGGCCCTGCTGAGCAGCGTTCACCTGGTTCGTCGCGGATGAAAACCCAGTGGCACCCCTTGATTTTTCAATCTGTGACAGAAGTGAAATGAGTGAAATGTGTTCTGTAAAACCGCATTGCTTCCGTTTTCTTTGATGACGATTTCTTTACAGCCTGGACGTGCTCCACAAACAGCTTCTCAGTGTCCAAATTCTTGAACTCAGCGTTGGCCTCTGCATTCCTGCAGAAACTGGCATGACATGGCGGCGACACGTTTTCAGTTTGCAGCTTTAAGAAAGGATCTATTCCACTCAGGAAAGGTACAGGTCGAGCGAGCCAGACAGAGAGAGAGAGAGGGAGGGAGAAGGGTGCAGCACGGAAATCATGCTTGTTCTGTACTCAACTAAATCATACTAAATCCACAAGCTCTGAGCATGCACTTAAGTGCAGGCTGAAACTTGTTTGATCCTGGCTATCCGGTTGCACTTCCCAGGCCTGCCTCAACAAACCAAGGACGATCTTTGCTGACTTCACTGGCCAGCGTCCCTGGCAAGGCACCGATGTGCATCATCCCACCACACCCCACTGCTGAATTATCTTGGCTCAAACTCACAATGCTGGATGGGACGTCAAGATGTGTCAAGTACATTTAGCATGACATCTCCGTTCGAGACACTCATTCTTCAGTGTTATCTCTAGAAGATCAACGCAGGTTCACGCCTGAGTGGCCTTAAACTCCTTGGCTTGAGGGGTGCGACCTTAGTGAGAGCTTGTGAAACTTGTGATGGATACAGTACCTACATGTTCCACATGTACCCACCGTATGCTTCTCAAAGCATTGCCGTGGTAAAGCTCAAAATCTGCGACCACGCTATCATCGCAACTGAAGATCAGACCGATGGTACCCCTGTACTTGCGGAACACGATGCACCTGACGCACTAAAAACGTCCAATCAGGCGCAGCTGGTACAATGGCCCTTGGCCGGAGACTAAAATTAGCTCAAACTAACATCTGCTTGACTTCTGGACTGACGTCTGTGCCTCTTCTTGTCACAAACATCCTGCAGGTACTGCTTTGCTGCGCTCAGGGTCATGCCCTTGATGGCCTGCAAGAGACCCGAGCTGAACTGCATATGGAACTGAAGGGGACGTCCCACTGCCAGACTGCCACTTCTGGACAACTGAATCTCTTGAAGAGTTCGCGCTGGCATCCTGTATTCTTCGCGCATCTCATGGATTTAGGCCACTGGTTGCCACACTGCCGTTGCCCAGTCTCGGCCTGTGCCGTCTCATAGGTATTCTTGTAGTGCCTCAGCCCAAAGAACTCCAACCACCAACTTAGTCATACACATTTCTCTTTGTAGATCCATCTCGAGGGCTAAAACTATCCAATTGGTTCAATTGATACAGTCTTTGATATGCTTTAGCAAACAGGGATCCTGTCAAGAATGTCCAGATTCGTTTATCATTGGTCCCCACTTTCGAGCCTTTGAGTTGAAATAAGTTCAGTATAGAAGCGTTCCATGTATGCACCTGTTGGTTTTAAGCTGGCTTGCCTTCCAAATCATTGTGGGAAGAATGTCATCAACAAATATACAAGTTTTACAAGTGCCTAAAATCTGCGATAATGAGAACCAGTAAAAAAAAAAGATTCTGCTGTCTCGAGCATCTATCATCTTTCAAGCCGCTCCCCATCGTTCACTGCATCCAGGGTACACTCGCAAATCCACACCTTGAGCCTTGCAGGCCTCCCCAGTGTGCAACAGTTCTGATGTCTGCTGTTTTCTTTCCGTCTCTCGCTACACATCACTGAACCCAGGCACCAACAGCCACTAGCACAAACAAATCAAAACAAACTCTCAAGTGTTTCAAGTGTTTCAGGAGTCTCAAGCCTTGCTTGGGTTCTTCGACTCCCGGGAGTACTTGATGGTCATGTTTCCCAGCTGTTAGGGTTTCGCGTCGAGGCGTCTGTTGACCGCTTTGAGCCCCAAGTTCATCCAGAAGTGATAGTCTTACGTCGTCTTACCTACGTCGTGTAGGAGCCCCATGGAGCCCCGAAGTCCTTCACTGGGCTTCACATTGCTGCCTTCCTCCATTGTTTCTTTATGCATACTTGACTACTTAACCAATGTTGACATATGTTGACATATCTTGATCATCCATGGATCAATGTGCAGGAATATGCTGACACACGACAAGAAGGAGACTTCACCTCTGAACTCTCTGAACAAGGAGAGGGAATATGTTGCACAAGGTTGCGCAAGATTAGCTAAGCTCTAGATGTTGCTTCTCATCTTCATCCATCTTCTCTCTTGTATATACTCCTGTATCTATATACTTCTGTATCATTCTGTATCTATGCTCAATCTATCTGGACATTGCTTCAGGTCCAACCCTCGCTCGATTGGAGCAGTCTTTTCTACCACACAGCACCACGACGCGTAGATTGGACTCCCTCATGAAAGAGCTCACTGGTCACCGCCGACCTGCAAGGCTGGCCCAGTCTATCCAAAATCAAATATCAGGTGTTCTTCGCAAATGTCATCATGAATGGATAGACAAAGTGTTCTGCCAGTCTGTTGCTCATCCTGTCCATCATCTCTTCACGGAGTTGAACGCAGTTCACAAATATTTTCACAAACGAGAGCCAACTCCAGGATGACTCTGCACCTTGAGGCGCAACTTGGCGAACTGCTTGCGAGTGAACTTCTTGGGCTTCGCACCCTGCAGCCCGACCACCCGCTTCGCTCCGGTTTGAACCCTTTCCCGCGTTCCAAGCCAACACCAGAAGACCAAACGGAAATGCAAACAGTGGACTCTGCTCCAAGCCCTCAGGACGTGCCTCCTCTGCAGCCTTCTCAACGGTCTCCTCCTTCTCGGACAAGATCATCTCAACGTGGCAAGGGCAGTTCCTAAGTTGATCTAAGTTGCACAAAGAAACATCAGGCACTATCATTTGGGACAGTCTTCATACTGATCTGTCTGCTTCAAGCTTTCCTTCCAGAAGCTGCTCATTCACGAAAATATCGAAAATCCTACCCATAATATCCCACGGTTACATCAGACTTTGTCTGCACACTCCTCTGCACAAAACCATGGTCCGTCTGAGGACTCGACATGTATGGGCCAATTCGGCCGTGGGCACGGTAAGTGCGCCTGCGGCCCTGCTGAGCAGCGTTCACCTGGTTCGTCGCGGATGAAAACCCAGTGGCACCCCTTGATTTTTCAATCTGTGACAGAAGTGAAATGAGTGAAATGTGTTCTGTAAAACCGCATTGCTTCCGTTTTCTTTGATGACGATTTCTTTACAGCCTGGACGTGCTCCACAAACAGCTTCTCAGTGTCCAAATTCTTGAACTCAGCGTTGGCCTCTGCATTCCTGCAGAAACTGGCATGACATGGCGGCGACACGTTTTCAGTTTGCAGCTTTAAGAAAGGATCTATTCCACTCAGGAAAGGTACAGGTCGAGCGAGCCAGACAGAGAGAGAGAGAGAGGGGAGAAGGGTGCAGCACGGAAATCATGCTTGTTCTGTACTCAACTAAATCATACTAAATCCACAAGCTCTGAGCATGCACTTAAGTGCAGGCTGAAACTTGTTTGATCCTGGCTATCCGGTTGCACTTCCCAGGCCTGCCTCAACAAACCAAGGACGATCTTTGCTGACTTCACTGGCCAGCGTCCCTGGCAAGGCACCGATGTGCATCATCCCACCACACCCCACTGCTGAATTATCTTGGCTCAAACTCACAATGCTGGATGGGACGTCAAGATGTGTCAAGTACATTTAGCATGACATCTCCGTTCGAGACACTCATTCTTCAGTGTTATCTCTAGAAGATCAACGCAGGTTCACGCCTGAGTGGCCTTAAACTCCTTGGCTTGAGGGGTGCGACCTTAGTGAGAGCTTGTGAAACTTGTGATGGATACAGTACCTACATGTTCCACATGTACCCACCGTATGCTTCTCAAAGCATTGCCGTGGTAAAGCTCAAAATCTGCAACCACGCTATCATCGCAACTGAAGATCAGACCGATGGTACCCCTGTACTTGCGGAACACGATGCACCTGACGCACTAAAAACGTCCAATCAGGCGCAGCTGGTACAATGGCCCTTGGCCGGAGACTAAAATTAGCTCAAACTAACATCTGCTTGACTTCTGGACTGACGTCTGTGCCTCTTCTTGTCACAAACATCCTGCAGGTACTGCTTTGCTGCGCTCAGGGTCATGCCCTTGATGGCCTGCAAGAGACCCGAGCTGAACTGCATATGGAACTGAAGGGGACGTCCCACTGCCAGACTGCCACTTCTGGACAACTGAATCTCTTGAAGATCGCGCTGGCATCCTGTATTCTTCGCGCATCTCATGGATTTAGGCCACTGGTTGCCACACTGCCGTTGCCCAGTCTCGGCCTGTGCCGTCTCATAGGTATTCTTGTAGTGCCTCAGCCCAAAGAACTCCAACCACCAACTTAGTCATACACATTTCTCTTTGTAGATCCATCTCGAGGGCTAAAACTATCCAATTGGTTCAATTGATAGTCTTTGATATGCTTTAGCAAACAGGGGTCCTGTCAAGAATGTCCAGATTCGTTTATCATTGGTCCCCACTTTCGAGCCTTTGAGTTGAAATAAGTTCAGTATAGAAGCGTTCCATGTATGCACCTGTTGGTTTTAAGCTGGCTTGCCTTCCAAATCATTGTGGGAAGAATGTCATCAACAAATATACAAGTTTTACAAGTGCCTAAAATCTGCGATAATGAGAACCAGTAAAAAAAAAAAGATTCTGCTGTCTCGAGCATCTATCATCTTTCAAGCCGCTCCCCATCGTTCACTGCATCCAGGGTACACTCGCAAATCTACACCTTGAGCCTTGCAGGCCTCCCCAGTGTGCAACAGTTCTGATGTCTGCTGTTTTCTTTCCGTCTCTCGCTACACATCACTGAACCCAGGCACCAACAGCCACTAGCACAAACAAATCAAAACAAACTCTCAAGTGTTTCAAGTGTTTCAGGAGTCTCGAGCCTTGCTTGGGTTCTTCGACTCCCGGGAGTACTTGATGGTCATGGTAGCAGGGGCAGGTGACCTCAGCTCACAAATGTATTTGATTGTCAGATGCGAGTTTGAACAGCTGGTCACATGGCTATCATGGCTGCATGTTTCAAACGAATTTCAAACGCGTTCAGAGTGTAGAACAAAAGGCTACTGTTCAATGCCTGGGGATGGTTGAACATGTTTGAACATGTTTGGACATGTGTTCAATTGTTCTCTTTGTTGATTGTCTTGTTCTACTTGTTCGGGTTTGGGCCGTGAATCTGATCAGCAACTTAGCAACTTAGGCCCGTGCGCTCGCCACGCTTGGCGTTGAGGCGTCCACCGCTTTGAGCCAATGCCGAGGATCAGAAATCGAGTAAATCATCAACAACAGTAGCTCAACTTAGCTTAAGTTGAAGTAGGGCAACAACCAGTAAAGTTTCACCCATTTAACCACATTTAACCACATTTAACCACATTTAACCACATTTAACCATACATAAGTACTTCAAGATGCCTTACGAAGAAATTATGGAACATGTATAAAACATGACAAAATTTGATAAGTCACATTCCTTGACTGGATCTGGGTCATTCATGAGTTCATAAGCGTGGCATTGGCTGAGCTCCTGGTGCAAGAAACCGTAGTGTGTCAGGAGGTAAGTGTCGTTTTTGCCTCAGGATCGACCAGCAACTTGAGCAGGAACAAAAGGCTGTGTCCCTACACAGAAATATGCAAGGTCGCAATTGCCTTTCACATCTTTCACGTGAGAGAGAATGGACAATGGCCACAAAGTATAAGAAGGACCAGGGAAAATGGTGATGATGACATGGAGGACTGAGAACATAGACAGTAAGACGTCGCCTCGAGGCGACGCTGATGTCATTCAATGTCCTGATTGTGATGATTGTTATTTTACTACAATCATCAATCTTCGTCCGTGCTACAAAAAGGCTAAAAGACTATGGTCTAACTATGTCTAAAACTATGGTTCACACTGAGACTTTACAACTTCCACTTCGCGGACCTGGGCATTTCCCTGCGTTCAGCTGCAATCTCCTGGCCAACAGTGACGGCAGTGCCCCCAGTGCCTGCAATGCCCTTGGGTTGCCCTACACTCTGAAAGCCTTTTGAAATCAGCATGCTCTACAACTCACACAATGGCTCGTGAATCGGCGGTCAACAGCCTTTTGACAAGAGTCAACCAAAAAAGTGCCCAAAACACATGGCTTATGGTTCGTCAGTTCGTATTCCAACAAGTCTTCTTATTCTATTCAGATTATTTTAGATATGTTTAGATTGTGTTTCACTTCATATGCTCTCAGGCACATTGGGCCCGGGCATAGCGCCTCGAAAGACTACGAAACCAAAGCCTTCGAGGTATTAAATACCGGCTAGCTTTTCTAGCTCCAGATGAGGACCACGGAAGTCAAGGGAAATGCCACCCATGGTGTGACAAAATTTGGAGCAAATCAATGACCATGACAACAGCCATTCTGGTGCTTGTCATGACATGGCGAGCCTTTTGACAAGAGTCAACCAAAAAAGTGCCCAAAACACATGGCTTATGGTTCGTCAGTTCGTACTCCAACAAGTCTTCTAATTCTATTCAGATTATTTTAGATATGTTTAGATTGTGTTTCACTTCATATGCTCTCAGGCACATTGGGCCCGGGCATAGCGCCTCGAAAGACTACGAAACCAAAGCCTTCGAGGTATTAAATACCGGCTAGCTTTTCTAGCTCCAGATGAGGACCACGGAAGTCAAGGGAAATGCCACCCATGGTGTGACAAAATTTGGAGCAAATCAATGACCATGACAACAGCCATTCTGGTGCTTGTCATGACATGGCGAGCCTTTTGACAAGAGTCAACCAAAAAAGTGCCCAAAACACATGGCTTATGGTTCGTCAGTTCGTACTCCAACAAGTCTTCTAATTCTATTCAGATTATTTTAGATATGTTTAGATTGTGTTTCACTTCATATGCTCTCAGGCACATTGGGCCCGGGCATAGCGCCTCGAAAGACTACGAAACCAAAGCCTTCGAGGTATTAAATACCGGCTAGCTTTTCTAGCTCCAGTTGAGGACCACGGAAGTCAAGGGAAATGCCACCCATGGTGTGACAAAATTTGGAGCAAATCAATGACCATGACAACAGCCATTCTGGTGCTTGTCATGACATGGCGAGCCTTTTGACAAGAGTCAACCAAAAAAGTGCCCAAAACACATGGCTTATGGTTCGTCAGTTCGTACTCCAACAAGTCTTCTAATTCTATTCAGATTATTTTAGATATGTTTAGATTGTGTTTCACTTCATATGCTCTCAGGCACATTGGGCCCGGGCATAGCGCCTCGAAAGACTACGAAACCAAAGCCTTCGAGGTATTAAATACCGGCTAGCTTTTCTAGCTCCAGTTGAGGACCACGGAAGTCAAGGGAAATGCCACCCATGGTGTGACAAAATTTGGAGCAAATCAATGACCATGACAACAGCCATTCTGGTGCTTGTCATGACATGGCGGTCATCAGCCTTTTCACAGGCGGTCATCAGCCTTTTGACAAGAGTCAACCAAAAAAGTGCCCAAAACACATGGCTTATGGTTCGTCAGTTCGTACTCCAACAAGTCTTCTAATTCTATTCAGATTATTTTAGATATGTTTAGATTGTGTTTCACTTCATATGCTCTCAGGCACATTGGGCCCGGGCATAGCGCCTCGAAAGACTACGAAACCAAAGCCTTCGAGGTATTAAATACCGGCTAGCTTTTCTAGCTCCAGTTGAGGACCACGGAAGTCAAGGGAAATGCCACCCATGGTGTGACAAAATTTGGAGCAAATCAATGACCATGACAACAGCCATTCTGGTGCTTGTCATGACATGGCGGTCATCAGCCTTTTCACAGGCGGTCATCAGCCTTTTGACAAGAGTCAACCAAAAAAGTGCCCAAAACACATGGCTTATGGTTCGTCAGTTCGTACTCCAACAAGTCTTCTAATTCTATTCAGACTATTTTAGATATGTTTAGATTGTGTTTCACTTCATATGCTCTCAGGCACATTGGGCCCGGGCATAGCGCCTCGAAAGACTACGAAACCAAAGCCTTCGAGGTATTAAATACCGGCTAGCTTTTCTAGCTCCAGTTGAGGACCACGGAAGTCAAGGGAAATGCCACCCATGGTGTGACAAAATTTGGAGCAAATCAATGACCATGACAACAGCCATTCTGGTGCTTGTCATGACATGGCGGTCATCAGCCTTTTCACAGGCGGTCATCAGCCTTTTGACAAGAGTCAACCAAAAAAGTGCCCAAAACACATGGCTTATGGTTCGTCAGTTCGTACTCCAACAAGTCTTCTAATTCTATTCAGATATTTAGATATGTTTAGATTGTGTTTCACTTCAATATGCTCTCAGGCACATTGGGCCCGGGCATAGCGCCTCGAAAGACTACGAAACCAAAGCCTTCGAGGTATTAAATACCGGCTAGCTTTTCTAGCTCCAGTTGAGGACCACGGAAGTCAAGGGAAATGCCACCCATGGTGTGACAAAATTTGGAGCAAATCAATGACCATGACAACAGCCATTCTGGTGCTTGTCATGACATGGCGGTCATCAGCCTTTTCACAGGCGGTCATCAGCCTTTTGACAAGAGTCAACCAAAAAAGTGCCCAAAACACATGGCTTATGGTTCGTCAGTTCGTACTCCAACAAGTCTTCTAATTCTATTCAGACTATTTTAGATATGTTTAGATTGTGTTTCACTTCATATGCTCTCAGGCACATTGGGCCCGGGCATAGCGCCTCGAAAGACTACGAAACCAAAGCCTTCGAGGTATTAAATACCGGCTAGCTTTTCTAGCTCCAGTTGAGGACCACGGAAGTCAAGGGAAATGCCACCCATGGTGTGACAAAATTTGGAGCAAATCAATGACCATGACAACAGCCATTCTGGTGCTTGTCATGACATGGCGGTCATCAGCCTTTTCACAGGCGGTCATCAGCCTTTTGACAAGAGTCAACCAAAAAAGTGCCCAAAACACATGGCTTATGGTTCGTCAGTTCGTACTCCAACAAGTCTTCTAATTCTATTCAGACTATTTTAGATATGTTTAGATTGCGTTTCACTTCATATGCTCTCAGGCACATTGGGCCCGGGCATAGCGCCTCGAAAGACTACGAAACCAAAGCCTTCGAGGTATTAAATACCGGCTAGCTTTTCTAGCTCCAGTTGAGCACCACGGAAGTCAAGGGAAATGCCACCCATGGTGTGTTCTAGAGCATTTTTCCCATTCATAGCAGTGATTGAACCAGTTTGACCGTTCATGGATGCTGATGGCATTTTGTGGATGCAACAGGGGAAGGCTCGTGCATGCTTAGTTTCTAGCGAAATTTTGAAAAGATCAGCCTACGTGTGTGTGTGAGAGAGGGAGAGAGATACAGATCCTGCTCGGAGCTGTTGTGGGCTATCCAAGTCGGTTTGACATGCAGAAATGGAGATTGGCCGCCTCGAATGGAGCCTCAAATTTGCGACGCTGCCAGGCCACTGCCAACAGACCTGCCGTTTTCAAAATTTCCTCTGAAACTCTGAAATCCCATGGAAAATACATTACATATATCGTATAATATCGTCATATGTCCTGGTATCAAGATGTCATCAATATTCTAAGTATTGTTTTTGATTCACTGCCCTGTCTCTTGCCAAGCAATAGTGGTCAAAGCAAGTTCTGCCAAATTCACAAGGTTTATCATTTTTGCGCAAACAACAAAACTATACATTATACTAGAAAAAAATACCAAACTCTCCAACTCTCCCAAACATTGGTACCCAATCAGTTGCCACTTCCATTAACACAGCTCACAAAGCGCTAGGGAAACTGAGAAACGAGCCTGACATCGGGACAGAGCCCACTGTGGCACCAACAACAAATACCTGAAACAACGACCGAATGCCTGTGCAACTGGGCAACTGGGCGAAGTCACTGATGGACACCATCTGGTCAACCCATCCGGACCACCCATCTGGTCCCTATTGCCAAGGAACTCCCCAGGTACCCAGTCGGCCAAGGGCATCTCCCAGTTCTTCTGACATGTCCAAAGAAGCATAACCTGAGAGCTCATTGGAACCGAGAACCTCTGCTTGCAATATGTGCAAAGTGAGGCAGTCACGTAGTCCGTTGAGTACGAAAAAGAGCAGGTCCCAGTAGGAAACTTGATAAATTCCATCCGTTTCTAAGTCCTTTGCCAAATGGGAATCTGGAGAATCGGACAGAATCGAGCGGCAACTCCCCAATCGCATGGCAGTGCCCAAAATCCACCACTGCTCCGTCCAGGCCACGGGCCAAGCTCCATTGGCCCCCTAACAGAAACTGTTTGGGCATCGTACTTTGATAAACTTCCAAACAGAGATACTTACAAACTTAAACTTACAGATACTTTGATTTCCAAAACTTTTCTGGTCATCAAAAATTAGTCAGCGAATTGGTCATTTTGAAATGTGTTGATCCCCTTCGGATTCAGCAGGAAAGACGTGACGAGAGCGGGGTGTCGAGGGGCTCATTGGTCGTCACGTCGTTCCCCTTGTGATAGCGGGGCTTGATCGATGGCACCTCTACGGAGACACAAACACCCTGGCGCTGCGCAGCCACCTCGGCTCCAGGTTTTTTTCTCCCAGTCCTCCTTTGTTCCTCCTTTTTTCTATCTTTTCTATTCCAAGAATTCTTTTCTCATATGTTCCAAGGAAAGAATGCGCATTTCAAAAGGGCTTTTGACCCCACCAAGATGGCGAGTCGAGAGGACCACGATTTGGCAAGCGGATGCTCAAAAGTTCCTCCTACTCTTCACATCTCTTCACACTTCAGATTTCGGAATCCATGGAAACTTTCATCTTTGTGAATCCACTGAGGTCTTCACAGATGTCCAGCATCGACTTGAGGGAACCTGAATGATATCAATGGAATGATATACAGTTGGTTCAATCAATATAGTATAATAATAATAATAATATAATAACAATAATAATAATAATATATATATATTATATAATATATAATATAATATAATATAATATAATATAATATAATATAATATAATATAATATAATATATATAATATATTATTATTATTATTGTTATTATATTATATATTATTATATATTATATTATATTATATTAGATTATATTATATTATATATTATATTATATTATATTATATATTATACTATATATTATATTATATTATATATTATTATATATTATATTATATTATATTAGATTATATTATATTATATATTATATTATATTATATTATATATTATACTATATATTATATTATATTATATATTATATATTATATTATATTATATTATATATTATACTATATATTATATATTATATTATATTATATATATTATATTATATTATTATTTTTTTTGTCTCTGGCCCATAGGTGCTTTCGCTGCGGCCTGTGCATGGCTGACTGAATTCATGTGCTTCAAGTCTGCAAGACTATCATCTAAAAACGACCACGGCCTCACCTGGCAAAATCTTGTCCAAGATTTGCGCTGTACATGGTGCAATGCATGGATCGCCATCTGGCTAAATCAGAGGCCAGGGGCTCGATGGTCGTGTCAACACTGAGCTCATCAATGGCTCGGCGGAATGCCGTCGCTAAGGCTTTACACATAGCAGGCGGGTATTCTTTTAGAATGCCTGTCTTCCAGACTCCTTCGGCCGTCAGGCCAATTGACGCCCCTTTCGGCGCATCCGCTCTCAGGCGCCATTCTCGAAATGCTGCCGGAAGCTTCGGCATGTTGATCACAAGCAAATCGGTTGGCTTCGTGGATGGCGCCCCGTAGAGGCCCTGTGCAAGTCGATGTCGACATACTCCTGGTGCATAGAGGAGTGCCTGCATGATGGGTAGGCGCCATATTGCTGCGAGCTCTTCATCCTCAGGTTCCGCAGGGTGTTCCAGTACCCCTAAACCTCCTGTCTTCACCATTGCGCACGCCATCAACAATGAAAACGTGAGCAGGAAGTTGCCTGTCAGAATCTGCTGAAGCTCCTTCAAGGCAAGGCTTGGGAGACCCCAGAGAAATTCTGCGGTACGTAGAACTCGAGGTGCTCGGCGTCGACAGTGCTCATTGATTGCCTTGCCGCGGGCAATAGACCAAGTCTCACACGGCGGACCTGCCAAGAAGCCGACAATGTGTCCTGTATATGCCGCAGTAAGCCAGTAGTCTCTGGTGTGCGCCTGGGAGGCGTCACCCCATTGCGCGTCAACAACGATATCCATGCTGACGACGTGGAGGACGTAGTCTGTAGGCGGCTCCATGTGATCCAAAAAGAATTGCACGTCACCAGGACGCCTTCTGCCCGAGAAGAGATGTAGTAGCACTCTGTGTTTTCCAAAGCAGCGAGGGATGTCCTCGTGGCGCTGCCATTCTGTCACTGCCACATCTCTGCATTCATTCTCCAGGTCTCGAAGGTCGCCAAGCACCTTGACAAAAGGCGCCTGTAGATCCCAATGCTCTGGATCGAGCAGCGTCTGCATGGCATCAATCACCATCTGGAAGTCCATCGCCCAGTGCTCAAAGTCCGCCGTCTCCACGTTCTCAAAGAAGTAGCGCACAGTGCTTGTCCATGTAGTCCATGAAAAAGGCCGCATGTCCGCAATCTTCTTGATCTCAACAACAGCCGTCTGTGGAGACTCCGCGTCAATGCATGCTTCCATAATGGCCATGTGGAGGTCATTGTCGACCCCCTGGTCGATGCGGAGCCGGGGGGGTTCCTGCAAAGGGCCCTCGGTCTGGAGTGGTGGTAGAAGGCGATCATGGGCAATCTGTCTGTCACGGTCTGCTTCTGATCCAGCTCCTGGGACAATGGGGCATTCATAGTTCCTGCTCTGTAGTGTACGGCGGCAGGCGTTGGAGTAGTAGAGGTGGGCGTTGACCTTCTCCATGGTGTGATAGTTCTTGAGGCAGGCCGGGCACGTGGGTGTATCTGTGAGTGACCTACGTGGCGCCGCCATACCATGCACCTTGAACATGTGCGCGGCTTCCCCTGCCTTGTTACGACATCGTTTGCGGCAAATGAGGCAGCCTCGGACATCTAGATGTTGTGCTTCCTCGACTTGCCGATGAGGTTGATATTGGTATAGGTCACGGAAGATGGAGAGTGCTTGATGATGAAAATGAGTGAGATGGCACTTATTGCTCCTCTGCAAAACCGCGTGCTCAATCGCTCTTCTCGTCAATCTCCTCCAGTATGACCTGTGATTGATGATCAGATCCTGCCATTGTTGCCAGTGAGTGTTGGGATCTTGAAGATGTGAACTGTGTCGGAGTTGCGTCCACATCCATGCAAAATCCTCCTCAACTAAACTGGTCCATTGCCGATCTTGCTCAATCAGGCCCCATTCTGTTTGTGCTCCGCAATGAAGAAGCGTTGCAACATAGCGAAGTCGGGCCCGTCGGAGTAGTTCACGTGGGCTAGGCAGCTGGCATCGGGACATTATGTCCTCATCAGTGAGATGTTGCTCAGGAGTGACAGGGAGCAAACGACGGTATAGTCGGATCACTGCGGCATGAAAAAGATTGTCTGTCCTGTCATCCGTCGTGGTCCATGTTTCTGCTCCGTACAGCAACTTACTCAAGACGAGTGATTCCAGCAATTGGGTCCTCTTTGATAATGGCAGGTGCCAGTTGCGAAAAATCAATTTTCGAAACTGTGTCACCGTACCATGAGCGATCCCAATGCGCCTTCGAATTTCATCTCTTTGATCGGCCTTGTGATGAACCAGTCCTCCCAGGTGTCTGTAGCGCGTTGTGAGAGTCACCTCAAACGTGCCATACTCATTGATGACAGGCAGGCTTCCTGTCGCATGTGGTCCATAAAGACGCTTCTTGTAGCGCCTAGAATCACGTCCTTGAAGTGAGAGGAGGATCTCGGTCTTATTCTTTTTGAGGTTGGGAGACATTGCATGTTCGGTGCAAAGCTCAAGCAGCCGTCCGGTTGCGACTCCAACCTTGCGCAGTAACTGTTCTGGATTGTCACCTTCCAAACATACTGCGAGATCATCCATCCACGTTGGTCCAAGGAATGGGATTGGTTCGCCGCCCTCATTTTCATTGGAGAAGATGGGTAAGTTGGTTTTCCTTGCAAAGCGACTGATCATGTCCTGCTGTGTCAGAAACTCCTCCAGTTGTTGAAGAACCATAGCCCAGACATAGCTAAAGATGATGTCTGCGAATGGGTCTCCAGGGCGCGACCCGTGCACAGTCTGAACAACATCAGTCTGGTGCTGCATCCAGAAATGTGTCTGTGAGTGTACCGCTCGGACACACCGTTGTTCCCGCCGGGGCATACCAGCTTGTGCAAGTGCACAGGGTGTCTGAAGGAGTCTGTGTAGTGTCTGCAATGCATCCGTTGGCATATGCAGTCTACTCATCAAGGCAGCTAACGCTTCGTCTGTGATTCTGCCACCCATACAAAGAGGTCTCAGGATTCTGTAGAAAGCCTCCTTGAGGTCGAGCAGGATAAGCGCACTGGAACGATCCTGAAACTTTGCCTGTCGCAAGAACGCTCGTACCAAATGAACTCCGTAGGTCACCGGCATTGCCCTTCTACCTCCCAACTGTTGCTTCTGAAGGAAGCTTTCAAAGATGGCCGCCTGTGAACTCCTCATGGTGCGATGAAGTGCCTTGCCGACGTGACTGGAAATCAATAGGGATCTGAAGGAACTGCACTGAGTCTGCTCCCCACTGCCCTTGTATGCTTGGACCAAAAGCCCACCCTTGTACTGTAGAGCCTCATGTCCATGTAGTATCAACTTCCACAACGCCGAGAAGTTCACTCGGGCACACTGTGTAGGGCCAAAATGGCATAATTCTCCTGGAACTCCATCGGGTCCGGTGGCTTTGCCAGAGGCGACACGTCTGAAAGCAAGCTCAAGGTCCGTCAGCGTCGGGAGCTGCTGGACAGAAATGTCAAAAGATTCCAGTGCCTCCTCTTGCAGGGAACGTACCCAATCTGTGTGAAGCTCTGAATAACTTTGTCTGTGACCTCCTTCCATATCTGCAAAAAAGGCAATCCAAGCCTGTCTTGCTGCCCATGGCGTAGTGCAGAGGTGTCCGTGTTGATCTTCAACCATTGGCAGTGTCTTACGTTTCTGCTTGCGAGGATTGGTTGGCCCTGTGAAATCTCGCAAGAGTCGGAGAATCTGAGACGCTGCCGTGTGTTCTGTCACCTGTTGTAGTCTTTGATGCATAAGCTGTGCCTTGGCTTTCTGAAGCATACTTCGGAGCCTCTTGCGATGAAATGTGAAGAGCGAAAATGTTCTGATAGAGCAACATCGCAAGGTAGTCCCGTAGTTGAAGGCCTCGATGAAGTCAGGGCGCGTCTCTTTGCTTCTCCATGCTTCGAAGACAATGTACATTGCCTCCTTGCGGAGCCGTTCCTTGAGACGTTTCAGTTGCTTTCTGCATCCAAGAACTGTCCTTCTCTGTAGCCAGATCTCCTCATCAATATAACATTTCTTCGGGCCTGCGCTGACAGTACGGCCGAGAGGGCGTAGGATCCTTGCAATTTGTCGACTGAAACTCTGCTCCTGACTCGCGACATCTGTCCTCCATGGGACACATTGCACATCTCTGAGTGCAGAAGCAACATGGTTGCGCACCTCTATGGAGGCCCATTCAATTTGTGGCGGCGACTTGTGCCGAGCTGCTCGAAAAACTTCAGTTTGCCAGACAATCTCGACACTAACAGCTTTGTGGTCGTCTCGACTGGTCGCAAGGTCAAAATCCTCCAACACCCGTGAGCATCGACAGGAAGGCCGCCAGTGTGTAGGTAAGATGATGTAGTCAATGCAATGTCTATCATCACCATTCGGTGCCGTCCATGTCTCCCGCGGACCCTCGTGGATGTCTGTCGTTGAGGGGATGTACAAATTGAGTCGCTGTAGTGCCGTCCTCATGAAAATGGTGTTGGCCGATGTGCGTAATCCCTTGCAGTGTACTGCCTCACCATCTGCACCACCCGGTTCGGCATTGGCGTCGATGAGCCAGATACACGAGTGTTGCGCATTGTGGCGAAGGAGTAATTCGACTGTCCCATCCCACCAATTTTCTCTTTCATCACGGGGGCGGCCACTATGCGGCGCGTGAGCTGCAAAGAGGAAACATTGTAGGCCTTCCGCCTGCACATTCACCAAAAGCCGGCGGCAATCTTTGTGCAGAACCTGAAAGTGGTGCTCCTTGAAGTAGAAATCGGTGCCAGATAGATCGCGTCCATATGGTTGCTCCAAATTCACCCAAATTTCAACTCCTCCTTGCCCTCGTTCATGTCCAGCCATAAGACGGAGCACCTTTTGTGCAGAAGTCATGCCTTCGTCCGCACGTCCTTCTTGTATGCCAAGAATGTTGATTCCAAATGTCTTCATTTGGGCATACAAGTAGTGTAGTTTCCCAGCATGGCCAGCAGGGTTGCGTGAAATGGACAGGACATTCGCAGAAACAAGGCTGAGCGTGCATCGTAACTGCTGCGGCTTCATTGGCTTTTCGGTGTCACTCATCTCTGTCATTGGTCCAGGCAGGTGTGGTGTCGGAGTCTGGAGCACTCCATTGTTCCATTGAGGGAGCCCATTTGTCTCACCGAAGATCAGCCAAAAATGCGGGAGAATGCGATTCCACTTCCTCATGTCAAGGTGAGGCCAAGCATGATGGAAGCTTTTGGTCATCTCAAGCTTTGCGACTGTGTCAACGAACTCGTTGAAAGGATCACCTGTGTGCGAATATACATGATGTAGTGTCAGATGATCAGTTGGGAGGCCAAGCTCAAGACATTGGAAGATACCTCGCAGAAGCCGAAAAGAGTCATCTGGAAGAGCCGTGCCCATCTGTCCAAACGCTTGTTGGCCACTCGTTAAGGAGTCGCAACAAAAGACGGTGGGCGTCAGGCTATTCTGGGCGAGTCTCCACATTCCGGCCCAAATGAGGGCTTGTCTCTCTGCTACTTCTGCGCCTATGCGCCTGGCGTGGGTGAAGCAAGCTCCATCTGCGTCGTAGCGGACCGGATGTGCGCACCAGCCGATAGCCTCGACTACAGATGTCCCATCTTCGTTGAAGATCTCGCCAAGTACTAGGAGTGCCCATGTGTCTGGTTGTCCTAGATCATCCGCCTGCTGGGGCGCCATTCTGCGCGTGGCAGCCTGAGATGATCCATCTGTAAAGATCAGCCAGCGGTCATAGACATATCCCGGTGTCGACGGCCGCAGTCTCTCCTGGATATAGTCTGGTAATTCAAGGCCAGAAAAATCCGTTTGTAAGAAAGAGTCGCCAGCTGCAAGGAACTCAAGAACATCATGGTTGTCAAAGCCAGTGTGAACTTGATGTGGGCCTTGATCCTGATCTCCTGCAGGTATTCGGAACAAGGGTCCTTCTTGCCACTGACGAACAGTTCTGGTCGGCCAAGGTGTACGTTGTCTGTCACGTACGTCTTTGACGGGAGGCTGTGGCACACTGTTGCAAAAGGTGACGCATTGAATGCCAGGCAACCTGTCCTTGACGTTGATTACAACTGCGCGAGCATAGCCAATCCCATCCAGGAACTTCATGATGTCCAGGTACGACATGACTTCGGGCTGTGAGTGCAGGATGCATCCTTCCTTGTCCTCCTCATCCTCATTGGTGAACATGTAGTGATGCATCTTCGTGTCAAAGGCAAAGCCACTTTGGAAACATAGAAATTGATCATGATTACCAAATTGAATGGCAGTGCAATCAATTCCCCACTGAAGCAGTGCATTCTCGACCTCAACTTCCGTAGCGTTGAGGGGTACTTCCAAAAATGAGGGCAGCTGCAGCTCCTGGTGGCCAGCCTGCAGGCGTACCACACTGGAGGTACCGTCTGCGGACACCAAAGTGGTGAGTTTGATGCGTCTTTTTGACTCTGGCTCGTGGTCGGAATGCCTGTCGTCTGTCGGTGGGAATGGATGTACGTGATGGACTCTGCCTGGGATGTTAGGGTCCATAACATCTGACCAGGGTTCACAAAGATCTTGAAACCAAAGATGCTGTAGACCGTCAAGTCTGAGTAATCTCGACTCTGAGTTTCTGGTGTACCTTTGGTGGTGTAAGTACCACGTCATCCAGTGAATGACTGGTCCTTCATCTTGGTATTCTGTTGTCGCACACTGAAGAAACGCCATGCTTGCTTGCGGCAGCCATCCTTGTTCATGCGTTTGAACTGGACTCCGGCGGTCTGCTGCAGTGGAGTGCGGATGTGGTACTGCTCGAAGACTCGGGAAAGTGGCACTGTTGGTGACAGGTTGTTTGTGGCTCAACTTGATGTCAACCTGATAAAGAGCTGGTCCCTGAGAGACTCCACGTAGATCTCCGGCAGCTGGTGCGTGGATATGCGCTCTTTTTGAAGGGCGTGCACGCTCTGGTGACTGGCAATCAAATGTCGGAGGAATCTCAACCCTGACATAGGCAGCGTGGCTGATTTGTCTGGGTGCGAGGTCATCCTCAGGCCAGATTTGGTTGTTGTAGTGGATAACGCATTGAAAATCACTCTGATCGCATTGCTCTGTATGCCAAGTTCTTGAAGGAGGCCAACTCGTCCAAGATATCGTGGCAAACGAAGAACTTCACGTTGCTGCAGTGGCCTGTCGCCTTTGGGTGCAAGATGCGTGATGTCAACCAGAACAAGCCTGTCAGCTGAACCCCCGGGGATATCGCCAACTCTTTGTAGTAGAATTGCTTCTTCCGCTGGGTGTTGATCAATCAGTGGCACTGCGAAATAGTGATACCCGACAGCTGCATCACGTTGAAGGCCAAGCGAACGTAGAACTTCGAAAAGGATGGTGTTATACGAATTCCAATGTACAAAGCAATGGTGGGTGTGTCTTCCCAAACCAAATACTTGTACTCCTTGAAGCTGATCAATTGGAGGCACAACCTCATCACTGGTGGTGCTCTCTTCTTCAATGTCTTCCTGTGGGCGTTCAGCTCCATCTTCGTCTTGCGAATGTTGATGTGGCTCCTCACTGGTCGTACGTTGAGCATGATCAGCCTGTGCCGGCAAAGCTGAGCTACTGGCACTTGCCGTGCTTTGTACGTCGTTGACAACGACAACAAATGAGTGGCCATTAAGCATCCAGTGTGTCGGTGTTGTCGTAGTTGGGATTGGGGTCCAATCATGGTAGATTCTCACTGCATGGGTCTGCAAGAAGTGGTCAGCTTCGGCTCCTTGCAGGATCTCATGTCCACTGAGATGTCGCGGGAAAGAAATGGCCCATGTGTATAATTCTGAAGCAGCAGAGTTCGGCAGATAGACCGTAGCAAGTCCTCCACATCGATCATGCCCTCCTTGAACCAGAATAAGATCAGCATGGGGTAGAAAGTGTGTCTCTGCTGGGTTACGGATCTCTGGGAACACAACAGCAACGTTGAGCGCCTCATTGTTGTAAAGCTGGTCTCTCCACGCCTGAAGCACATCCCAGTGCCAGGTGGTGCCGTCTCCTTCAAGCTCAACAATACGAGGTCGCCTCCATTGCCGCACATGTAGATGATGGATATACCACGTACGTAGGCGATAGTATTCTCCATCCAAAACTCTCATGTGCCTTTCTCTCCATAGATGCTGCAAATGTTGGATGTAGTTTGGTGTCTCAAAAGGTAGTCTACGATCAAGAAAATGGAACACAGGTCGTTGGCTATCCTCTTGTCCGGACAGGCCCGTGTCACGGGCTCCTGAACTACCTGTGTCTCCCAGCATCAAACTTCGTGGGCTGGGCCATCTTGTAGTTGGGCTTTGGGAAGGCCATGGTCCGGAATGGACAGGTACTTGAGAAGTGTGGAACTCTTTCTCAATGTCATCACCCTCAATGACTTGGACCTGGTCACAAAACCGGACGATTTGATCAGCAAAATGCCGTTTTGAAGGGAGCTTGAAGAACTCCACTTTGATCCCGCAAGGGGTCCCAACCTCAATTGCAAGATCTGAAGCCTGTTCGATGGCGTGCCAAGGTGATAGGAAGTTCTGCTCCATGAGGATCGAGTGGCACCAATGCATGGTGTTGGCTCTGACATCCAAATTGGAGACAGAAAGAGCCATGGGCCATTGGCGAGTGTACTCTTCGGTCACACAGCGCCGGCCCGCGCAAAAGGCTGCAAGCTGGGATATTGCTTTTCTCCATCCGTTTCTTCGTCCTTGCGAGGCCGTTTTGCTTTCGGCTCGAGTTTCTCGGCATTCTCCGAGAGCACTTCCAGGCTGCTTACCACTTGGTTGAGCCCTTCTTGTATTTTTTGCGCGTTCTCGTCCTTGACAAGCTCGTTCTCCTCCTTGGCGTCCATCTCTTCTGTATCGTCGTCGGAGGACACGGTGTAGGTCTCCTCTTTGTCGTCTGCATCCATGCGCTTCTTGGCAATGTCCAGACGTCTCTGAGCCCTCTTGAGATTCAGTTGTGCCTGCTGCATCTGTGTTTGAAATGCAGTCTCGGCCGCTTGGAACTGTGAGGTGTATTCCTTCCACTTCACAACTGAGCGTTGTAGGAACACTCTCCACTGTGCCCACAGTTGAAGTCTTGCGTTCTCGACCTCTAACTGGGCTTCTTTGGCTTTGTCCAAGGCCGTAACAGCCGTATGTAGATTCCGTGAACATTCTTGCAGAGAGATTCTCTTCTTTCTTCGCGGCTTTGACAATTTTGTTCAACTTCTGTTGGACTTTCGCTCCAATCAGTTGCTCGTCTGATGGTTGAGCAGTCGGCATTGTCGGCATAGGTGGCTGTCCCAGGAATGTGGTGTCCGGAGACGGCATCATGGCAGGAATTTGTTGCATTCCCGCAAGATTGTTGTGCATCCATGGTGGTCCTATGGGTGGCCCAGGTCCAATCAACATTGGCGGAGGTGGCGGAGGGAGTGGTGCCATCTGTGCCTGCATGTGATTGTATCCTTTGCCAAAGCCCTTGGAACCTTTTGCATCCGGCTGCAAAGCATTCGGCGGCCAAACGGGAACTTGTGGCCAAGCTGAAGCTTCTGGACCAGCGGGATGTTCTTCCTGATGCCAAGACTGCTGCTTCCTTCGGGATCGAGGCCTCGTTCTGTGTCTGGGGCTCTTCGATCTCCCTGCATTTGATGGAGCCGTCCAGGACTGGGTCCATTGATTCTTTGCACTGTCCTTCTTCCCTCTTTGGTTCGCCGTCTGCGTCGCACAGGTCTCCCAACTCTGCCCGCAAATGTCGCAGAACCATGCCTGTGGGGATCTCATTTTGCGGCAGGTGCCACATAGCCAGCCATTGGTCGCAGCTTGCGCCATTTCTGCCTGGATGAGCTGCAAGAACAAAGGGTCTCGCGAGTGGTGCGAACTGAGCGTTTGCAAAACTCGGCTCAGATGTTTTTGACTGAGCCGCTTGGTGCCAGATCTGTGCTCGTGCCACGCTCTTCTGGCTGTAGCACGATGCCTTCTCAATGCACGACGCTGGGTCGCAGTTGCCGTGGTCCTTGTCCAGGAAGATGCCAAAGATCACGACAGTGAAGAAGAACCGCACCAATGTCATACACAAGGTGAAGTGCCAGCCCGATCACCAGGGTAAAGACAAAAAGGTGGAGCTCGTTCAGAAAACCCGGGTGTTTATTGAGTCCGGGACCTCACAGGTGATGCCACCAGTGTGGCAGAGCACAGATGCCAGATAGCCGCGATCACTCACCAGGGTCTTTGCCAGTTCAGTGAGGACAGAGCGCAAAAATGGCAAAACAGGGCCAATGACAACGATGGCCCGTGGGTAGAGGTCGCGTTACCCACTAAGGTTCAAGAACGGGGGCCACTTAAGCCAGAACCTTATGTATATACATATATATATATACATATTGTGTACGCAACATATGTGTGTGGAATACGCTGGAATGCCTTTGAAAAGGTGGATTAGACGCAGAACTGCCAGTGCCTAAACGCTTGCCGCTGCACTCCGAGATTTCCTGTGATGCCACAGCCTGGCAACGTGTTTCTGAATCGAAATGGGCACGGGAAAATATTGGGACATGGAAATAGCATCATGCCATGTTTGAAACATGTTGAAACATGTTGAAATCAGCAAAATGGCGCAAAATGTGAGACCCAAAATGGGATCAGTGGCCGTTTAGAGAAGGGCTTTCGTGCTGAATGCACAATCAACTGACCAGCACTGGACAGCGATGGCTCGAATTCCCCTTGCACAAGCACCTCTAAAAGTATGCCATGTCCAAGTGCAAGCATGCACCCCATTGTCGCGCCCAAGTTTGACAAAGTCTTGCTGCTGGAGCTCAAAAATCAAAGCTGATAAAAACTACAAAAACTGAATAAAAACTCCAAACAGTTTCTCGAGTGTACTGCCACGACTTGATCAATGGGTTCTTCAAGCCTTGAGCCTGCCAACCTTTAAGGTCATGCATTTTATTGCCGTTTATCATCTCTATAAATGTCTGTCAAATTTCCACAAACCTTGCACCTTTGGTAAATGTGATTCAAAATTGTTCATTTCAACCCTCTGTTTGGAGTTCCTGTTCGCCCCTCTTGATGATGCTGTGGAAAATCGAACTCAACCAACTTCTACTCCAACCAATTCCGACTAGCTGCTCCTCCCTGCAAGTCTCAAGAAAGGTCGCATGTTTTTTTTAGTCAATGGTGTCCCAAGACATCAATGGCTCACTCAATGGTTTCATACGTCCGCAGAGGTCTTGGCAGGGCCACCCATACATTTGCCGTTGCGCCAGATTGCTGTAGTTTGCAGCAGGACGGTTAGGTGGCTTGAGAGGGGGGAGGAAAGGTATCTTTTCCAGCAGGACAAGTTGCAGCGTCAACAGCATTCCAAAGCGCAAGTGAAGCGACCATGGCACTACTGGGTAAAGCCTTCAAAATGCAGCGCGATTTACAGCGCGCTTTCTCGGGAAAAGTTCCAGGCAATGAAATGTCCAAGAGATACAACCTGAAGGGCTAATGTCAGTGGTTGAAATTGCGTTCCCCCGTGAATGTTTTCTATGGCAACAATGTTGATGAAAGTTACAGTCAATGATGTAGACAATTCTACGGGATTATGAGTCTGTTCAAAACAATATCACAAGCTGACAATTGAGCAAAGGGGATCTGGTGTTGGAAGGTTTGAGTGATTTCAGGTTAAGTTACTCCAGGCGGCTGTAAATCTCCCGGACAGCCGCTTGCACAATGACACAGGACGTGCACTTCGAGAGATAGCCATGGGTCAAGTTGAAGATTACGTACAGGCTTACCATTTACGTCGCGTTGGGGCCTGCAGTGGACGGCCCTTTGGATAACCAAAGCAAAGCTAGTCCACGCCAGAGTTTATAACAACCTTGCAAACCCTGTGCAATGCGTTCAGTCTACAGACAGGAGCTTCTGACACACAAGATAGCTCAGGTATTTTTCTCAAGAAACACCTTCACCCCACATGTACAAGTCTGGAACCTACGCCTCTTGCAGACATAGCCCAAGAACGGCCTAATGATAACCAACTGCCAACAACCACACGTATCCGCTACCATGCCACATCTGCATGACGGTAACCAGCAACGAATAATTACACACTTTTTTTCCAGGCGAACTAGTGGGTTTACGCCTGGGGATGTTACGTTTAAACTCTAAACATTACTGCGCGTATCTACGCGTTGCGTCGGGGTTGGAGTGGGCGACAGCCCCTACACCCCGAGTAAAACCCACTGCAAAAGAGGCCATCCAGCCTCTAAGTTGGGCCGCGCACACAGGCTAGCAGCAATCTTATATCCCAGATACATCAGAATGCCCGCGTAAAATTCACATAAATTCAGCCAAAACGAACGTCTTGATGAGGGATGCAAAATCACGCGCCCAATGCTCACATTGCTTCATATCCCACCAAAATCAATCGGATCACGCACACATTGATATTTGCCGGGACGGCCCAAGTCACTGTCATTATATATGTTGATATATATATATATATATATGTTGTTCAAACATCACGCTGAATTGATTGCATTTCTGCGACGATGGGGGAGTTGAAGGGGGCGGGCCCCCTCCCAGATAGGAATTCCTTTCTGGGCCGAAGTTCCGTGAAACCCAACCCCTCCCCCAATAGGCCCAATACCCTCTTATTACTAAATTACATGGAACTCAGGTAGCCTAGGCAGGTGACTTCAACACTTCCACGTTTCAGTACTGTGTTTCAATTCTACTTTTTTGGCTGCAGGTTTGAAATGGCGCCAGAGCAGGTCCAAAACCTTAGCGCTTGAACCAGAAGTATGGCTTTCTGAGCATGTCTCTGATGTGGACATGTACCCAGCTGAAAATAACATGGCGCGGCAATCCTACTGGCCTTCGCTTCAATGTCAATGTGGAGCCAACTTTTGGGCGTTTGTCTTCCGGATAGGCATAAGGATAGCACGAGGAGTTGACTTCCCCAATCGGTTTGCCTGCAAATTCGTCGTACAAACACCAAGAGGCCATCATGTCTGTGTAGGTTGGTGGATCATGCGCAATATGGTTGGATGGGGCATAGGTGGGCTGCAAACCCAACTCTTGTTCTGGTCCTACCCACGGTGGCGAGCAATGCCAGAGGCAGGTGTTAAATAGGACGATATCTCCAGGCTCCATCCAATGTTCAATGATCATCTCTTCATCCAATTTCACTCCCGGAAGCACTGGCACGGCCGTGTCCGGATCCCATAACATCCACTGCTCAAAACGGCCTTCCTTCCGGTACATTGATTTGCCCGCAAGATATTCTTCCCTGGTTCCTTCAGACATTGCAGCCGCATACTTGCTCTGATTGATAATCTGGGTGCCTCGCACACCACCCTCAACAATCAATGGCACAGCGAGCCTTGCCAATGCTGTAGAAAGATATTTGGACGGTTGGTCACCCATTTGACACTCGGTTCGGTCAATATGCCATCCATTGGTAGAATTAAGATGCCTTCTGCTGATGAAATCGCGCTGTAGTTGAGCGGATGGGGCTAGATGGGCTGTGACTGCTTGTGGGCTCTGAAAAACTTGCCTTGCAATGTCCCCCAAGGGTCCAAAGAGGTAGAAATCCAAAATTTCATCCGACATCATCCACAAATTGCCAATGTTCCTGGGATCAAAATAGTCAATGGGTGCCACATACTCATGCAGTTTCTTTACCACTTCAGGTTTCAGAACGCCTTTCAAAAGGGTCGCCCCATCGCGAAAGAATTCATCACGATGACGATCAGTGAGAGTGAAAGCCTCGTAATTGTCAGTTTTGGCAAAGTATGTCTTCCCCACTTCTCGCACCAACCTCATTTGCTCGGTTACAAAAATTCCTAATAGCAGTTTTTTGAAAGTGTTGTCGTAAACACGTTTTTGTTGACAAGATCACAGGCCCATCCCCAGTCTCCAAAACATCGTGCGATTTCTTCCCAAATTCACCACTTTCAAACTGGGCGAAGCATCACCCGTTGCAACTTGATCCCCAACGTGAAAGACAACCATTTTCCAGGGAAATTGACATTGTTCGTGTGCCTTTCGGTTTCACTGAATGGTTGAAGGTTTTCTGCGTTTTTATCCGCATCCTCTGGGCAACCAGCGTGCCGAAGTGCAAGTTACATCTAAAGGGATGTAATATAATATAGTATAACATAACATAATATAATATGATAAAATATAATATAATATACTGTAATGTAACATAATGTAATGTAATGTAATGTAATGTCATGTAATGTAATGTAATGTAATTTTCTCTGATGTAATCTTAATAATAATGATGATGATAATAATGATAAACGATACATTGTAATATGATATAGTATAGTATAATAAATATAAATAATATAATATAAATACAATCATATGACATAATATAATATAATACAATATTATATAATATAATACAATATAATATAATATAATACAATATAATATAATATAATACAATATAATTTAATATATAGTTGGAGACTGATTAGTGTGGGGGGCCCCCAACAATTTTAGGGTATTTAATAAATCGACATTTTAAACGTCCCCCCAACAGTTTTTAGGATAGCCAACTTAAGCAAGGATTTCAATTGACATCAATCTACTTTCAACTGGTTCTCCTTTTGAACCTCAAAAACATCTCTCAATAAGAAAGGAGTTCAATTGAAATCAATTTGCTTTCAACTCACTTGAATCTACTTTCAATTGATTTTCCTTTTAAACCTCACGAACGTCTGTTGGTAAGAAAAGATTGCAATTGAAATCCATCTACTTTCAATTCATTGGAAACTACTTTCAATTGATTTTCCTTTTCAAAATAAAAAGCACTATTGATAAGAAAGGATCGCAAGTGAAATCAATTTACTGAAAGGCTCAATGTTTTTTGCACAGTTGTGCTGAGCAAAAATCAGTGTTGTTTAGAAACAAAGTGATTGTTGCTGCTTGGCTGGGAGGGACAGGTGTGCAAAGATACGTGTCGTAACACAACATACCACAACGAACCATGAAGGGCAAGGAACTGCCTACCCATGCATTTGCTACCTCGTCAAGCACCACTCAGCCACTTGCGAAAAGCTCCCGGTGGCTTAACTGGCGCTGGCCCAGGCGGAGTGCCAGGATTTCGAAACTGAATTGTCGGTGGAGGGCCAGGGTAGCAAACAGCTCTGGTGGCGCGGTTGACATTCCACCCGGCCACCACATGCCATGTAAGAACGGAGTTTCAGGCGCTATGCAGTACAGTTGGCTCACAGATGACTGCAAAGCGTGAAGGCTGATTCACTCCAAGAGGTTCCGAGGACATCAAGTCAATCTCCATCATCGAGGGCTCGTGGTCTGACCTCAAGGGACAACGCCAGAAGAGGAGTTGAGCAGATGACAGACAAGATTAATGGTGAAATGGTTTGTCAGGAACCTTTTCTTTTGCCAAGTTGCTCTTCACCCATTTCCCAGTCTGTGTCGTCTGACCTCATGCAGCGAAGCGTGCAGAGAGAGGAAGAATATCAAGTAGATGATCGGTATAGTACAATGAGGCTCTGGCATTGGATACCGCGGTGGCTTTGCCGCAGCACAAGGGCATGGCACGAGAGGCATTCTGCACTAGAATATGAGCTGAGGATGTGATATCAAATGGCTGCTGATGAAGCCAAGCGATTACATTCGGCAAAATCTATTTGATACCATAAGAGGAGTTGAGCTGATAACAGAAGAAATTGATCTACCAACGCAATCTTTCTGACATGGACCTCTTCTCCAGCCTCAAAGCTGTGCATGGTGTCTGACAATTTGGTTCCTGTTTTTTTGGTTTTTCGATGGTTTTTTTGTGTTGGGGCATAGTCATATGAGGAGGTGTAGAAAACCACGGGTTTCTACAATGTGCGCGCCTCCACCCCCCTCATGCCCCCTTCTGAAAAAATATGCTATTTCAATAATTCATTTTTTATTATAATATAATAATATAAAATATAATATAATGTAATGTAAAATGAAAAATACAATGTAATGTAATATGAAAAATAAAACAATCCAATATACAATGCAATATACAATATATCATGTAATGCGAAATATTATGATATAAAATTAAACACTATAACATGTTTTAAAAATGTGATATAATAAATTTTCCTATAATATAATACATATCAAATCAAATCAAATCAAATCCTTCCATTAAATAATGCAAAACAAATAAATATGTGTTATATTTACTGTATTATGCTATATAAAAGTATGTTGTATTATATTATATTATATCATATTATATTAAATCATATTATATTATATCATATTATATTATCATATTATATTATATCATATTATATTGTATTATATTATATCATATTATATTGTATCATATTATATTATATCATATTATATTATATTATGATATATTAAGTTATATTGTACTATATTATATTATATTATATTATATTATACTACATAGTATCATGTTGTATTGGTTCACATTACTATACAACGTATATAACTGTATGGTTTCAAATTATATGAAAATATATTATGTTATATTAAGTTATATTTTATTATATTATATTATATTATGATATATTAAGGTATATTGTACTATATTATACTATATTATATTATATTATATTACATAGTATCATATTGTATTGGTTCACATTACTATACAACTTATATAACTGTATGGTTTCAAATTATATGAAAATATATTATGTTATCGAAGGAAGTTTAGAAGTCAAACTTCCGACAATATGGAGAGATGAAAAGCAGAGCAGGGCAGAGGCAGAGAGAAGAGGAAGATTAGAAGAGAGAAGATCAGAAGAGAAAGAGTAAGAAGACAGAAGATGCAGATGCGCGAAAAGGTAGGAAAGTCGCGAAACACCGTGTTTTTCCAATGATTTGTGCTCCGGAGGGTCGAAAAGTAGGCTTGCTAAAGCGGCGGGTGCGGAGCCAGCTGGCCAGACGAGAGATGAAAAATTGCACGCCGTTGTGGTGCGAAGCACATTTTGAAGTCAAAATGTACAAAACACACCATTCTCGGACCACTTTTGGAAGTTGCGATGTCGAAAAAGTGCACGCCGTTGTGGCGCGAAGCACATTTCCAAGTCAAAATGTACAAAACACCCAGCTCGGACCACTTTTGGAAGTTGTGATGTCGAAAAAGTGCACGCCGTTGTGGCGCGAAGCACATTTCCAAGTCAAAATGTACAAAACACCAGGGGTTCGGACCACTTTTGGAAGTTGTGATGTCGAAAAAGTGCACGCCGTTGTGGCGCGAAGCACATTTCCAAGTCAAAATGTACAAAACACCACGGTTCGGACCACTTTTGGAGGTTGCGATGTCGAAAAAGTGCACGCCGTTGTGGCGCGAAGCACATTTCCAAGTCAAAAGTGTTAAAAACTGACGGTCTCGGACCACTTTTGGAGGTTCAGATGTCGAAAAAGTGTCGAAAAAGTGCACGCCGTTGTCGCGCAAAGCACATTTGGAAGTCAAAAGTGTAAAAAACTGAGGGTTTTGAGCCTTTTTTGACGTGCTGATGTCGAAAAAGTAGACGCTGATTAACTTAACTAACTTGCCTAACTTGAGTAACTTCACTAACTTAACTACCCTAACTTCGACGACAACAGCAACAACAACAACAACAACTACTACTACTACAACTACTACAACTACAACTACAACTACAACTACAACAACTACACAACAACTACAACTACAACGACAACAACTACAACGACAACAACTACAACGACAACAACTACAACAACAACAAAAACAACAGCAACTACAACAACTACAACTACAACAACTACAACTAGAACAACTACACAACAACTACAACTACAACTAGAACTACACTACACTCCACTACACTACACTCCACTACACTAAATTACACTACACTACACTACATTACCCTACACTACACTCCACTACACTACACTACACTCCACTACACTACACTACATTACACTACACTACCTTCCACTACACCTCACTACATTACACTACACTCCACTACACTACAACTACAACTACGACTACACAACTACACTCCACTACACGAAATTGCACTACACTACACTGCATTACACTACACTACATTACATTCCACTACACTCCACTACACTACACTACATTACACTACACTACAATACACTGAATGACACTGCACCACAGATAGACAGGTAGACAGGTAGACAGATAGACAGATAGACAGATAGACAGATAGACAGATAGACAGATAGACAGATAGACAGACAGATAGATAGATAGATAGATAGACAGGTAGACAGCTAGACAGCTAGACAGCTAGCCAGATAGACAGATAGATAGATAGATAGGGTAATTGGATGAAAGAGAGAGAGAGAGATAGATAGATAGATAGATAGATACATAGAAAATAGATAGGTAACTAGGTAGATAGGCAGAGAAAGAGAGAGAAAGAGTGAGAGAGATCAAGCACCTTTCGGTCCATCAGTGGATTCGCTCTGCCATCCCTGATTCACAACAACCAACCTCTCCTATAGGTTTCCTATTTTTGAAACTTCCGCCACCGCCTTGTGCGGTACTACTGGTATTAAGTTATATTATATTATATTATATTATATTGCAAGTTATATCAAATATAGGGCATGTTCCCTCTCTCTTTTAAAATGTTTGTTGTCTTGGCACTGCTTCACTGGCTTCACCATGATGTTTAGGCAATATATGGTCAGGTCTTGCTCGTGTCTTTTGGTATTGGGATCTTTCTGACCGTATATTTGTATATCTTTTGTATCTAGCTGCCGACCCTACATCTACAGTGAACCTGAGATCCGCGGTTGCTGAAATTGCAAAAAGCAGACCCCAAATTTCTGAATCCGTCCTTTCGAGTTGCTGAACACTAGCTGCTCACCATGAATCAGTGGCTTGGAATTTGACATTGTTTGCCACAAACATCAAGAAAAATAACTTTTTCAATGGCCATTTTAGGAACCTAAATTGGAGGTACCTACCATGTAAGGCCTATGTAAGGGAATACCCCCACAAAATATGGCCTCATATGGTACAGTACCTCCATTTTAGGATCCTGAAATTCCCATTGACTTTCGAAGATCTTCTGAAGTATCAAGTACCATTGCTGTTCCGCAGGTTCCACAAGAAGACGAAGTCACTACGTAGCCCCAGAAATACAAATTGTCCAAATCAATCGGCCCACTCTATGGCTGAATTTCGTGACCAGCAGCTCTGGCTGATCTCTCCAGCCGCCTAATTGCAGGGCAACCAGGATTGGAGGGAAGAACGCACAGCAGTACTTGCAGCAGCTTTTGCGACACATGGCGTTTTCAAAACTGCGCCGCTCAAGGCTAAGCTGTTCTTTGTTTGCTCCTATTTGTGCATGCGTTTTCTATCGCTTTCTCATCGTTTGTCTGTATAACTTGGGCAAAAGATTAGAAGTCTCGTAATCTCTGGGAAACATAAGTCATCAGTCAACATTTGATCTGCAAAGTGGAGTACCGCAAAGATCTGCAGAGTGGGCATGTCCGTGGCATGTCAGTCTTCATGGGTTTGAGCTGTGCGTTCTTGAACACAACCGAGGCAAAGCCAACACGAGCAACGATTTCAGAAAATCGCACAAGCCTGATGTTCTTCCAAATGTCGCTCAAACTCCACAACCACTGTGCCAATGTGGAGAATGCTTCAGGCTTGTTACGTTCATTTGTGGAAGGTGGAGTTTAAAGGAGAAACAAACCGACCTCACTAGTTTGTTATGTATCTGTTCCATCGCTCATGATCAAAATCCTCCAGTTGGGTTTAAGAACCAGGAGAAATCTTTTTCCAGAGTCTCGGTCTGCATGGTCTGCGAAGGAAATTTCAAATGGTCGCAGATTCTTGGAATATCCGGCACAAGGTCCACTATGGTGATCTTCCTGTGAAGCTTGAAATGGCCAGATTTGGCAGAAGGATGGAAGATACATCCACGTTCTCGCGCAAAAAGCCATGCCGCATGAATATGTTCAGCCTCTGTAAAGAAAGTAAAGCTTTCGCAGCATATCTCTTGCTTGGACCGACACCCAACTGAACGCAAGATGCCGGGGCAATCCTATTGGCCTTCGCTTCAATGTCAATGTGGAGCCAACCTTTGGACGCTTGTCTTCCGGATAAGCGTAAGGAAAGCATGAGGAGTTGCCTTCCCCAATTGTTTTGCCTGCAAGTTCGTCGGTCAAACACCAGGACGCTTTTGTATCTGACCACATTGGTGGGTCATGGGAGATGTGATTGGATGGGGCAAAGGTGGGATGCAAACCCAACTCTAGCCCTGGTCCCACCCACGGCGGGGAGCGATGCCAGAGGCAAGTATTAAATAGGACAACATCTCCGGGCTCCATCCAAGTTTCCATGATCATATCTTCATTCAAATTCAGCCCCGGCAGCACCGGCACATTGATGTTCGGGTCCCACAAGAACAACCGCTCAAAGCGGCCTTCCCTGCGGTACATTGATTTGCCCGCAAAATATTCTTCCCTTGCTTCCGACATTGCAGCCGCATACTTGCTCTGATTGATGACCTGTGTGCTACGAACACGACCCTCAGCAATTAAAGGCACAGACAACCGTGCTAAGGCCGTCGAGAGGAATTTGGAGGGTTGGTCCCCTATCTGACACTCCGTCCGGTCGATATGCCATCCGTTTGTGGAATTGTGACTTCTTGTACTGATAAAATCTCGTTGAAGTTGAGCAGTCGGGGGTAGGAGCGATGTCACTGCCTGTGGGCTCTGAAAAACCTGCCTAGCAATGTCCCCCAAGGGTCCAAAAAGGTAGAAGTCCAAAATCTCATCGTGCTGCATCCAAAGGTTTAAACGCTTTTCACTGTCCCACTCTGGAATGGGCAACAACTGCTCATGCAGTTTCTTTACCACTTCAGGCTTCAGAACGCCTTTCAAAAGGGCCGCCCCATCGCGAAAGAATTCATCACGATGACGATCAGTGAGGGTGAAAGCCTCGTAAATCTCAGCTCTGGCAAAGTATGTCTTTCCCACTTGCCGCACCAACCTCATTTGCAGGATGAACATCGAAGTTCCAGTCTTTGGGAAATTTGCTTGGTTGCAAGACATGTGTATCCTAGGTACACCGTTTGATACATAGGGACAAAGCGGTGCCTTGCATCCTAGGTACAAATGACGTTGGACCTGGCTGCAACTTCAAAGCCAGGGTTGACAAAGGTTTTACTCAAAAGGATAAGCCCAGGTGGTATCCCCAACAGAAAGGGTGAGAGGAGAGCGTGACAGCCGTCATTGAGGACCATCCCGGCACCCAGACTGGAACCACGAAGCCCAAAACCCACACTGGAACACACACCGAAATCTGAACCAACCCGCAACGCGCGCCAAAAACTGCCCAGAGCAGAACCTCCCGGAACCTCTCGGAACCTCTCGGAATGCTATCTCATCATGTCTCCAAGGATACCGTTCCTCACAAATCACAAGTCCTAAAGACTATAGGGGTTCTTAAACCCACGGCAAATGTAATTTTGACTGATTAACCCAGCTTTGCAACCCAACAGCAGGTTCCAGGGTTGCAAGACTGCAATGTTATCAGGCAAGGTTCAAAGGTTATGCAGGTCCACATTTTACAAGGTTGCAGATTTCAAGAGTTCCAAGGTTCCGGAGTTCTAGATTACCTTCTGGGGTTCCAAGTTTCCAGGGTTCAAGGTTCCAAGCATCAAGGTTCCAAACTTGTAAGCGTCTTGGCTTGGTTCATCAACAACGAAATAACCAGCGCAATGCAAAGCAAACGCAAAACACAATAGAGCTGCTTCAGTAAAGCGTGAATTCTACAGCTTCACAAGGTGAAAGGTTCAAAGTTTTTCACAGGGCTCTCGGTTTCCAGGCAGGATAGCAAGGCTCTAAGGTTGCAAGAGGCCAAGTTTTCCGCAATTCCATGACTCTAGAGCCTTATACTTCCAACACTCCAAGTTTCCTGGTTCCAAGATTCCATCGACCAAGGGATCCATATTGTGGGAGTCCCAACATTTAAAAGTTTCAGGTAGGCTTGCCAGTGCAGGTTCCGGACTTTGAAAGAGTCGAAAGTTCCAGGGTTCTAGAGCTCCAGGGTTGCAGGATTCTAAGGTTGCAGCGTTCCAAGGTTCAAAAGCTACAAGGCTTCATTTCAGAGTTCCGGGGTT